ATAATCATGAAGGTGGAATCTAACTATATCGATGATAATATTTATTGTATCCATGGGTAGAAACATGTTTTTTTCTGCTGTAAAGTTAAACTCATATTTCTCGCATCAAATGACATCAAAACGCATTTTAATAGCCAAACTAACCTTAAAATAGGCATTTTCCACCGAGAATAAAACGAATGTTCGGCCATGTTTTTTTTTTCTGCAGGGAGAAATTTGAAGATCACGTGACATAGACGCCAGCCATTGGAATGAATGGTGAAAAAAAACGTAGGTATCCTATAATTTCAGAGGCGTTTTTGTAGAAATACTACGTCCCAAGTTGTGGACCAACATAGTTATTACACGTTTTTTTATGAGACTGGGTTGGATAAACATCTAAAACATGTCAACAAATAGACGTTCTTTTGGCCTGTGTTGTAGTTTATGTTCATCTTACTCTGAAATGTAACTGCTGACTGCAGCTGTCAGATGTATTAGAATAGTGAAGTACATTTTTATTATTGTTGTGTGTAATAAGGTGTACATCGAAAAAAAGTGACAAACTGTCTCGAGATTTGAATTATGATTTTAGTATTGGGGTATTATTTATTTTGGGATTAACTGACATTTTTGTCATAAACAATATAATTTGTTTAGACAGATATAAACCATTCCACAACATATTTACATTTCTGAAGTCTCACCAGCTGGTTTTCTCTTCTAGGATGTTTTTCATTTATTCACCAGGGGACTCATTGCATTTTATTGTAATTAATATGGATAAAACGATAAATAAATCCATCTATATGTTCATTAGAATTGTTCATTAAGAACCAACCTGAGTGATGGGGATTTCAAGTAATGGCTTGTCCTCAGACTCCATGTCTTCTTGACTCTGATAGCAGAGAAGATTTTGCCCCCTGAGGACACTAAAGCCATTTCCCCAGCAATTAAGGTCTTCTCCAAGCTGAAAGATCAGAAAGTGATTTTATACAGTGGATATTAAAGTGATATCATATTAAAAGAATGACACTATGAAAATTAAATCACCTTAACCTTGAGTTGGCCACTTATGATTGGCTGAATCATGCACAGAGGCTGAGCAACCAGGCGGCAACACATACTGCCGTACAGAGGCAACCAGAATGGATCATCCTCTGGGAAAACAGAGATGAACTTAAGGAGTAAGGGGAACAGAGAGGGGGGGACAGGAGAGGAAACAAGAAGAGGAAACAAGAAGAACATGGGGACGACTTCTCACCTGTTGCTACTAGTGACAAATCATGGGTCTTGAAACCTTCCTGGACATGCTCAAGAGTCAGTGTTGCATGAGCCAGCAGGTTAAACTTAGGCCCCCTTAGGACAGAACGCAATGAGCAAACTCAAATTGACACTTTGAATGTGTGAGGGAGAATTGTCATCCTCACAGTGTGGAAAGGTCAGGGGATAAAGGCGGTGACACACTTCCAGCTCCTACATTTCCTCCTTAAACGGCTGCAGACTCAAACGCAGCACGGATCTTTTTCCCAGAGGAGCGTCCCACAGACCCCCCAGGCGGCTCAATCTCCTGGGTCCTAGAGCCCCGGGGGAGAAGTCCTCCACAGCAGAACTGCTTTACAGCTCAACACGGAGCTGGAACCCGGGACCTGCTTCGTGGCTGCTCACACACATTTATATAGGGACAAATTAAATGTATTTTAAACTGGATTTGAATAAAACTGAACCTCTAAGAAACAACACTTACAATATGAGTATCAAAAAAGATGTCAGTCAGTCCTATCAACTATCACCACATCTGTGTCATGAATCTCTGTGCCACACTGCAGCAGACAGAAAACAGCACAGCGCTGGAGCTCTGCAAGTAAGAGTATAAAAACAGCTAATTATTATTAAGGTTTTAATATATATTTATTAGCCCCTAAAATCCTGTAAGGCATGGGTGTCCAAACTTTTTCACCGATGGCTATACAGAAAAACATACAAAGTGCTGGGCCTCGTAAGTTAAGTTATAAGCAGAGGCGTCAATTGGGTATGGCAAGGTATGGCAGCTGCCACACCTTGGCTCCAGGGGAAAATGTAAATGTTCGTTTTAAAAAAATAAATTTATGGAATTACTCTGTGTCAATTTGTATTGATTATTCTATTATTTAATACATATAAATTAAATACAAATGAAAATCAGAACAACACAATCGATTTCTCTAGTCTAGATATTATCTTTCCCAATACTTATCGTAACGTATCCCCCCTCCCTATCTTGAAATGTGGTATCTCCTGACGAGAAGCCGCCGGAGGTCAGAGCGGGTCATGTTATCGCGGTTTTTTTTATTTTTCGGCTAAGCTAATTAACTAAAATGAAAAGAAAGCAAAGAACTTTAGAATCTTTTTTTATCAAAAAAAAGGCAGGTGAAGGTGATGGCTCCAATGTTGCCCC